TGCCAACAAGCACCACCAGCCACAGCAGACGAAGAAGCATGCCCAATATGTCTCACTGCCATCTCGTACAATGGCATAGGCCCAACCTCTCGGTTCAGGTGGCCTCATTGCAACCACTGTTTTTCACACAGGCTGTGCAGCCCACATGGTCGTCGAGCAACCCAGGCCTCCCTGCCCAACTTGTCGCCAACCATGGACCAACACTTCCGCCTTGCTCTTCTCAGCCCAATGTCGGCACCATGGGGTGGAACTCCCGCCTCGGATCCAACGAGTGGATACTCACAATGCAGCTTTGCAACCGCCAGTAGCACCCACACACATTTCGCCACACTGTTGTCCACGGCTCTTTCTGGCGGACCCCCTGCACCCTGAGGAACCAACAGCCTGGCAAGAACTCAACGACAACCACATGGCATGGGCCCCGGTCCACATCCAGCAGTCCGACCGGTGGGAACCAGAATGGGTGTGCCTACGGTGCAACACCGTCCTCCGACTTGATCACCCATTGCTACAAAACACCCCCGAGCAGCCGCATTGCACACAACATGGCCCGCGCACTTTGCGCGTGGATATGCGACACAACACCAGGGGGTGGATTTGCAACCACTTCCAAGCCGGATGCCCAGCGCAGCCAATACACACCCAGCCAGCCAGGGCCCACATGGCACCGCAACAGCTGCGTGACCCACACAGCCGGCCCTGGACCCAACGAGGCCCACCAGACGAGCATTCTTGCAGCCATCCGACTTTCAGTTGGTTCTATGTCCCGCTCTTGCTGGCGGCCACCAACCGCCTCGAACCCCAAGCGGCTGAAGCATGGCACCAAACCCCAGCAGCAGGCAACCCGTGGCGAAGATTGGTGGAGCATCTACAGCAAGCACGCCCCGTCCCCTGGCAACAACTGCTACACGTGTTGACAACATTGCAGCAACTGGCTACACACACCGGGCAAACACTGGCAGAGAGCGAAGCGGCCCTGCCAAACAGGCTCCGCGAGGCTGGGGCTTGCCAACCCCCCGCACCCTAGTGCACCTACCATGGGCCGTGACCGTGTTCCAACAACCCAGCGGCTACATCCCAGCAACCGCTCAGGAAGCACTGTTGCACACATTCTTGGGGGAAAGATTGGCATCAACAGCTGCCACCTTGGCCCAACAATGGGGGGCACTTACAAGCCACGTTCCGACCACAACCTCAACAATGCCCGGCCCACCACCGCCCACAGCCCCCAACCAGGCTTCAGCAACACCCAGCCCCACCAGGCCAGTAGCAGATACCCGGCCATCGGCCCCGGCGGACCCAAGCCCAGCCGAGCAAGACTCTTCCAGTGCCAGTAGCTCGTCCGACAGCAGTTCCAGCGACACAGCTACCAATGACACCAGTGCCCCCCGACGC